TGAATTTTGCGAAAAAAATGTGAAATTTGAAATTTGTGACGTTAGATTGAAAAGTTTAAAAAAAAAAGAAATTTAATTCAAAAAGAGTTGAAACTTGCAAAATTAATTTTTATTTAAGTTTTTTACCGTAAACTGCCGCTTAAAAGCCCACCCCCTTAAAAGCCCCCCCCCCCCCGGTTATAGACCCACCTACATGCAAACAAAAAAGTACATGCGATAATAAGCGCATCCTGATATAAGCCCCTGTTACAGTTTTCATTTTGTTTTGAAATTTCACTGAATTCGATTTATTGCTGCCTTTTTAACTCTTCAATTGTAAGAGTAATAAATTTACATTATACGTCTATCAACAGTGCTGTTGCTCATTTAGAAACGTTTTTCCGTCCGCTTATAAGCCCATCCGGATATAACCCCCTCCCCCTATTTATAAGCCCACCCAAAACCCCTTACGAACTTGTATAAGCCCAGGGCTTATAAGCGCTAGTTTACGGTATACATACAAAAACTTAGCACCTAACTACATTTTTTGGTCGCCTTTTCCTCGTCAATAAAGTCTTTTGTTTCTTATTCTGCAATACACCCTTCCTTTCAAAAGAGAAACAAGACGCATACGTTTATCAAAGATAACAAAATTTGCCTGACATAAACAAACGAGACCTGCACTTTCCTGACAATTAACGAAATCATAGCCTTAAGATGTTTCAAATAGTGAAAGCGATGGAGACAATAGACTTTATTGACACTCACAATATGTCATCTTCTTTAATTGATTAATCAATTATAAAACAGAAATAAATCAATTACATCAATTACATCACTAATCAGTTTATAAACACAACAATGTCTGATCATTCACTGAATCAGCGCTAAGGAGAAAATGGAGGAGGAGTTGATGTTAGTATAGCTGGGTAGTACCTCAGAAACGCAAAGATAAACACATACATATGGAACATAATATACCAAGCCCCAGTTGCTGAAAAGGTGGATAGCGGCACACACGGGATAAATCGCTATCCAGTGGATAGTGCAATTGGCGTCCGTAATAGTTATGGACTAGATAGTGATTTATCGGATGGATAGGGCTATGCAACGTTTGAACAACTCGGGCC